GCTTACAAACCTCAGCCAGGGAGACACCAGCCCTACTGGCCCACGGGGTTGCCATGGCCCTAGTTGAATGGTAATTACATCTCCCAGTGGGACCCAGCCCCTTAACTATGTAAGCCACCTGGATGCATTCCCTCACTCAGTAGACCTCCTGTCACAGGTGCTGGCTAAAGTGGCCCTTCAGGATAGAGTCATCTTGTTGGGTGACTTCAATGCCCGAGTTGGTCATGGTCTGGAGTGATTTGAAGACATAGGCCAAATCAGCTCAATAACAACGGTAGGAAGCTGCTAGATTTTTGTGCAGCCCATGGGCTTGTAATTACCACCATGCTGTTCCAGCATCGGCGCATCCACACGTCATGGATGCATGCCGGGTCCAAGCAAGAACATCTGCTGGACTACATAGTGACGTAACAGCGGATGCGGGCCCATGTCCTTGACACCAGGACCTACCGTGGAACTGACCATCGACTTGTCATCTGTAAGATACACTGCCATTCTTCCACTCCGGTGGTGGGTGTACACCCAGGACCCCATTCAAACCCATAGTGGCATGGTCTCAGTTAGCTGATGAAAGTTCCAAGCGAGAATTGAATCATCGCTTGCGGCTGGCATAGTCTGCCACTCCTGATTTCGAAAGGAAATGGCCGAGGTTTAGGACTGTGGCTCATGCAGCTGCAATGGCTGCTTTGGGTACATAGTCCAGACCTCCTCAGAGACCCTGGCTCAGTGGAGGTGTTCAGGCTGGCTGAGAAAAAGCGACAGGCCCACTCTCGTCGTCTACAGCATCCCATTCAGAGAATGAGGTGGCTTACTGCAGCCTTCACTTGGAAGTTCGGAGAGCTGTGAGACGCTGCAAGGATGGTTGGTGGTCGCGGGTTGCTGAGGAGATGGAGTCTGTCTCAATGGCCCGTGGTCACAAATCACTCTTTAACTCCATCAAGAAAGTAACCTGCGGTGCCACACCTATGACCATCATTAGGGGAAAGAATGGTGATCCAATCTCCAACCCCCAGGAACAAGTTTGCAGATTTTCTGAGCATTTCTGTGAAGTCCTGGGGGAGGGGAAATCCCTCAGCATGGAAAACAACGTGGGACAAAGTGGGGATGACCCTGCTGAGGCTGCAGTGCCTCAAATATTGGAAGAAGTCACCCTCTGTGAGTGGCTGGCTGAGGTGCCATCTGTTGAGGAAGTACTGAAGGCGATCCGGAGCCTGAGACCAGGAAAGGCATCGGGAAGAAATTATCTCCCAAGTGAATGCTGAGGGGGGGGTGGCGTTTGTGCACAGACTGCCCTACATGACATCAAAACAACAGTCTGGACCACTGGACGGGTTCCACAAGATTGGAAGGATGCCCTGGTGGTCTCCCTCGTTAAGAAAGGGGACCACATAGACTGTAATAACTACAAGGGCATCTCTCTCCTCAGTATGCCGGAAAAGGTCCTGGCAAGAATAATTCAACATCGCCTTGCCAGGCACGCTGAGGAGAGGTTAGCGGAGCCCCAATGTGGTTTCAGGAAAGGGCGATCCTCCACAGATGCCATATTTTCTGTCCGTCTGCTACAGCAGAGGTGTAGGGAATTCCAACAAGACCTACATCTCTGCTTTATTGACCTGGTCAAGGCCTATGATACCATCAGTAGGCCTGGGCTCTGGGTTGTTCTTCATGCTTTCGGAGTCCCTGACCTGCTGCTCATGATCATTAAGGACCTTCGTGATGGTGAGCGGGCCCGGGTAAAACTACGTGGCCGGGAGTCGGAGACATTCCCTGTACACCTTGGGGTGCGACAGGGGTGTCTTCTGGCTCCCACATTATTTAACATCTATTTCGACCACGTAGTGGCACAGATACAATGGGAGGCTGATCGATGCCCAGGTGCGGTCAGGGATGGCTCCCTATTGCTCAACCATGTTATGTATGCCGATGATCTGGTAATTGCCACTCACTCAGAGGAGGAGTTGGAGCGTGCAACTAAGAGGTGGGGCCTTACCATCAGCCCCACCAAAACTAAGCACCTGCCTGGGCATTTTGTACCATCAGACACTCCACCTCCACAGCTCCCAATTGGAGATGGGGCAGTTGTGGAGAGACCCATACCTGGGCAGTGTGCTCATGACCGGCTTCGGTTTGACAGCAGAGGTCTCACTCCGAATCAGTCGAGCGGCATTATCTATTCATCGGTTGTGTAACGCTGTGTGGAATCTACCTGGTCTATTGCTCCACATGAAGCTTCAGGTCTTCTCGGCCACGGTCATTCCCTCCCTTCTCTACGCTTGCGAAACGTGGACCCCCCCCTAATGGAACATCTTGGCTGGTTAGAAACATTTAGGCTGGCCTGCCTACGATCCATCCTGAGTTTAACCAGGCTGGATTGTGCGAGCTCACAAATCCTGGAAAAATCTGGTACATTTCATTCAAGCGTGTTTAAAAAAAAGTATTTTTAACTATTACTTATTAATACTAAAAGTTGAGTAGTTAAAATAGATTTAAAGGCACTGTCCGTGAAAATATTAATTTCCTTACAAAAATGTCTCATGCTGATATAGAAGTTCCATACACTGTCATTCTTTTCCACGCATGGTTGGGTAAAATTTTACGTGTGTTTATTGAAGGAACTGGTCGTCCTTTTGACAGACCACTGCTGAATGAGGGCCCTCCACACGCTCTGCAGGTTTGTGGGTGTAATTTGACCGGTACTTTACGGTGTTGGTCAGTGTGGGGTGGTGAAGGTTGAAAGCCACAGACATGCAAGTACCGTCTAGAAACACAGAACCGCAATACATTTTACTGCACTGCCCCCTGCTGCCCATAACGTAGCCCCACAGGCCCTGTGACAACCTACAATATTTATGTAAGGTGGTCACCTATCGGGAGGCACTATCCAGGTTAATCTATGCTTAGTTTATAAGATCTGAAGAGATCGAACACATTCCGGGTGATTTAGTCATAGGTGCTCACTGGAGTGTATCTGTCCATATTCAGACACAATGTTTAGCACGTAGGCTCTCGCCACCAGTATTATTCCTAATAAAGGCTTTTGGGTTAGATCGCGTAAGTATAAATGTGTCGCAACCCTCCACCACCCGACACGGCCAATCAGTAATGTGCGAGCGGGAAAATAATAGCCTCGTGGAATTTACTGGAGTGTATTGTTTAAATATGCTGTCAATAAAATACAACTTGGCTTATGAATGTCAGCAGATAATATATAGGATAAATAGCTGCAAGCAAGAACCCATACATCTTCAACCACAAAAAAAATTAAATTGAACATGTCTCTACTAGCACTATGGATACTTAAATAACAACTGTTAATTTCTTCGTGGAAAATGTGATGACCAGCTTTTATATAAGACTCCAAAAATATTCAAAAGATAATGCATGCATTATATCTGGTGTCCTACAGAATCTTACATAAATGTCAACGAAATATAAATGTCAACGAAATTAATGTCTTGGAACTGGAGAGGACTATACTGAACAGCATGAGCGTGAATCACACTCAGCCACCAGTAACATGATACATTCTGTAACACGAAAGGAATCGATGTAACCTATTCCTTTCAACACTGCAACTAAATTTCCAAGGTTTGAGAATAAATCACAGGATAGTACAATGTAAGCATATCACAATAAACCCTCCGATCTATCCACATGGGTGTTTAAGTTTTTACCTCTAACATATAAAACATTGCAAGAGGTACTGTCATGTATCAGAATGGAGAATTCTTCTGCAAATTGTGAGTCAGTTTGACTTTCTTGGATGAAAAAAATAGAGATATTATCAACAATCTATCTCAGAAAGAAAAAACAGTCGAGGGACTGCTTTGTCAGTGGGAGAACAAATTCAAACTAAAACTTACCATGTACCTCAATATTGCCATCTTACAACAGAAAATTGTACACTATAATAGGCTAATGTGACAAGCCATGGTGCTTCACAGCAGACAGAGGTGGCATATCATAAGATAGATGGACCTCCCTTAGGGCCACCTTGTCATGATTTGAATGACTATACTGCAAAACCTCACCTTGGAATAAATTCCAGCTGAACTTTCATTAAAATGTAATGATATAGGCTCCTTAATGTTCAGTCAAACAAATGTATATTGAACCACACACCATCCTCAACTGGGAATGGTAGGCCAGTAAGTACATTAGATATTTTTATTTGAGAGTATGTCCCGACATATTTTAGACAATTTTGGGATAAAAGTAATGGTGTTCAGTTCCACTTTTGAAATAGTATTTATAATTTTTAACGTCTGTTTGAAACTGTGAAGCAAATCCACGAATCAAATAAATCTCATTCTAGATTTGAAGCTTTCGTGACTGCAAGGATTCATACTCTTAGGTTTTTTCGGTAAAGTCATGTAGGTAAAAAAAATGAAAATAACTCAATTAAATCACGACGTTTCGGAGGCAACACAAGTCTCCGACTTCTTGATACAGTAAATTGGGCTGTGACGGTCCCACCTGAAGACGGAGACTTGTATTGCCTCCGAAACGTCGTGATTTAATAGAGTTATTTTCATTTATTATTATTTATTATTACTTTTTACCTACGTGACTTTACCGAAAAAACCTAAGAGTACAAATAAATCTCTTCAAAACTATGAAGCAAATGAAATAGCACCCATGACACCTGGCCTAATAGATAATTTTTGATATTCAGCCATAGCCTACAGAAAATAATTGTGTCCAAGGTAGGCAATTACTTAGGCTTGTTAACAAAATTAAGTGGCAGCATTACAGTACAAGACATGTTGGTATATTTTTATTTCTCATTATTATCAATTGTGTTTCATTTAATGATGCACAACAGTATAACAAAGAGTAAACATTTACATTAGTTATCCTCCCCTTTGCTTCATTTATTTAAATTAAATCGGACTAGAGATGTTAATGGATTTCTAAAACCCGTGCGTTTATACGAGGCCCTGGTCATGTTATTTTGCACTTGGCAAGGAATTACGTTCTGTATTGAGGGAGGTGCTCACCTTATTCTTCTCACGGATGCTGGACATGCGATTCTTCAGAAAACTGAAGGTCCGACCAATTCCCCCCTTCTCTTCAGACTTCTTCGAGCCTTTCCTTCCAGTTTCCGCTTCATCCCTGTTAAGAGGTCTGGTTTGAAGCCGCTATACTCTTCTGTTACATGCGATTACATGAATGGAAGCTATACAATTGTAAAGTAACATTGTGGTTTAAAATCTAAAATTAAACTTAAGTTCAGCCCGAAAATAAAATTTTAAAAATCACGTAAGAGGTAAATTATTAATACGTTTATGCACATTTGTTTAAATTTTACAGAATACTCACATTAAACAATGTATATGCAAATTAATATACTTAATGGGTGAGACGCTCCCATATAACAGTTTTTTTTATATATTGGAGCAATACTGGGTGTTTTAAAGGCGATAACATTTTCTTACTATATTCAAATATATACATTTCTTTAAAAGATGAAGAGCAATGGATAAGATTAGTGCAATGGCAGTCGAAGGAGAATAAAAACACCACAAAGACTGAGTAAAAAGATCAAATCATGTGCAAGACTGAATTTAGTAACACAGAACAGTAAGGAGTGCTAATGGTGTGGGAAGCCTTTCATCTAACAGTGATACGACCATGCCTATTGATAACGTTTAGATCAAATTAACTTGCATTGTTCTACAATAGAGTTTATTCCTTACCAAGAAGAATCTTTTTAAAAATCCAGGTCTATGATCATAATCATGGTTTGTAAAAGGTCTTAAAACTATTTCAGCCATCACGGAAATTTTAATGTGTGACCACAATCAATGTTCATGTGCAGGCTATGCTGTATAAAATTAGACCAAGTAGTTATTTTCATATGTATTTCTTTAACAATTTGATGGTCAGCGATACTGCAGCAGGATTAGTCACTCTGCGCTTGCTACCTCACACGGTTCAAAACACACAACAGACATCTTAGCGAGACTCCATCCCAATATCCTGTGCTTAAAGCTGGGACACTGTTAAAAAACGGACTCTAAAACATATACAACAGGGCTTCTCTATATTCAATAAACGGTGCATGTAGAATATTGCAGGATCAGTAAATAACCCATTTACCTGTCCTCGGAGAGTGAGATATTGGAACCGTACACGGCTTGCATTCCGTCTTCCTTGGAACCAAGCCAGCCAGTGGCATGAGCACTATACAAAATGCCACACACTGATCAGTTAAATTACAGTTCTACCTTTTGGTGGAGTAGCAGACTACAACTAAAGCCTTGCATGAATACAACGACCATAATTAGAACTTATATAAAATAATAATCTGTCAATGTCATCAAATGATGGTAAACTACAACAATCAATTTGCCATCAATAATTTGAGTGCTCTGGGCTGCAGTGATGCTGGAGAAAGTTATCAAAAGTACGTCTCTAAATAAGCCACAAATGTATTCTCCAGAGACAGGATGAGCCGGGGTTAAGAGGGAAATCCCTGCAGGAGGTCCCCCACTTCGCTGCTTCTAACCGCACCCTTCCTACTTAGAGCACAAGGGCAGTACTACTCTCAATACTGCTGAATGCACTAATTACTTTAAATTCAATATTTAGGTGAAAATATACTTTTTACATGTGTGTAGGCGAAAGTTTGGTTGTTAGTGAGAAATGTTTTAGAAATATGAAATGAATGTCAAAGTTTGTGTTAGTATCATTACTACTGGTAATAGAGTAAGTGCATGTCACAGTAAAGGGATTACTATTAAAGTGTGTTAGAAAAAACAGCGATACTATTATAGAATAGTGAACAAGAGCTCCAATATTCAAGCGCGACTCTCCTGCACTCGTGTGGAGCACTTGGAAGCCCATTTATATTCCACGTGATTTAACAACGCAACAAAATGCCTGTTATCCACACTGAAGTGTGCATTATGGTCACAAATAATAATACAAATATCCTGTAATTCACAAAAAAACACTTAATCTGCAATTGCAGATACATAACATGATTAACAGGATAAATGTATTCTGTATTTCCTTCTACTCATTAAAACAGCAGGAAGATAATAGTTTGCTTTAGCCATTGCTGATTAAATTGTCGATTGTAATTGAGTTCCCACAGCGCATTTCCAAAGCATTTATAAGCAATGCAAGACATTGAGTTTTGCAATGCTTACAATAAAATTCAGTGTATCATTAGCTCCGACCCAGACTTGACAGAAATATAATTGCAGCTGTGATAATCCACAAATTACACACATTTCCCTATGTATGCATACTCTTGGGGGGGGATTCCTTCACATATAAACACCCAAAACGCTTTGAAAATTAAGCTTTATTCTGAGCTCTCGCCAAGCTATAAATTGTAAAAACAGTTAACTCATCTTATCTGTGGAAAGAATTCCATTAACAGGACTTGGCACATCCAGGGCGATTTGCATTAAACAGTGCATATAACCACAATGGGTGTGCACACAAGGAAATGGATCTTTCAGCTAAGAAAAACATAATTCGCATCGTTTATTTATGGATGACAAGTTAAATTTATTAACCAGATCTTTAAATGCATTTAAGTCTTCCTGTTATCCACAAATTTACAGATGAGTGAACATCTGTGAATGTGTTAATCTTCGGAAGAGATGACCTGTGGATAACAGGAGTCATGGATAAGGTTAACTGGAATGGCTTTAATTTCCTCCCATTTAACATTCAATGAGGGGCGTGTACTTTATCAACAAAGACAGACTTCCTTGTACAGGAAGCTAAGCAAGCTTTTGGCCTGGATATTGCTTGAACGAGTGACCACTGTGCATACAGCAGGTGTAGCAGAGGAAAGCACACAATGCCCGTTCCACGTCTTCACTAACCTGCAATAACCAGCATGGTACGGTATATGGTCAAGTTACACCCATGATCTGCATGACATGTGGAGGCCCTCATCCAACAGCAGATTGATACATGGGGTGTACATTTAAAGGAATTAAGTTGGGCTCATGATTGTCCTCTTCAAATGAAAGTGTTTGTGTGCACGGCTTATAATTTCAAATCCATTTTATGATTTATTTTCATTTCATAATGGCAAGGTGGTATTTAATTACCCTGTCACGATACACCTGCATTAACTAATGTGAATACATACAATTCAATACATAATTGTAAAGCAGTAAGACTAGAATCAGCATTTATAAGCACAGATGTTACAGGACTAATACATCCTTTACCGCCATGTCCTGGAGTTATTAATGCCAGTTCAGCAACATACGTGGTGCATATACCAAGTCCTTGCCGTTCGCCTCATTCACTGCCTGCTGAACCAACTGTGCCGGGACAGACAATGCTACAATTCCCAATTGTAAATCATGTTTACGATGATGACACCTGCACTGTCCACAACCACTAACAACTACATCAGCATTGATACTAACATTAACATATGTTAACTGGCACCAGTAAACGCCCATGAGGCCCCATTTTCAGGTGGGATGTACGGTTTTGTAAGCAAGCGTGCCCAGCTGTGGCTCGGTTTACCTGTTCTCCGTGACACCATTTGGCTGCAGTGATATCCGCATCCCTGAACAAACACAAAATGCAAAAGAAAAGCAGCATGAGTGACAGCCGGAGATCTCCCTGGCAGTTGCAGGGAACGCCTGCTTTGTGTTGGCCCCAGAACCATGGAAACGGTCAGGAATAAAATAAAATGGAAACAATGGGTTTATTTTTAAAACGTGTTTTCCACAGATAGGTGACGCTATGTACTGTATACTCTTTGGAGGATTTAGAACAGTATGCTATTTGTGTAAATTGTACTGAGTGTCCCTTGAAAATAAATATACAATTCAGATGTATTTTTGGCGTATAATAATAAACGACAATTACCGTATTTATTCAGGATTATTTTTTAAGGAAGGCCTTCATTGGATTGTTTGCCCAATTCCATTAATGAGTGTTTGGCATGTGGGAGGAAACCACAGTAGCTAGAGGAAGCCCACTCATAGAGGGAGTAACAATCAGAACGATCTGTGAGCTAATTTCACAGCTCAATATCTACAACACCTGGCAAGCCCTGGCAGTCACCGATTCAAGTCCTAACCCAGCTCATTCCTGCTTAGCCTCCAAGATGGAAAGTACATTTGGGGTAATACGCTCGCAAGTCACATACGCAAGCTGGAAAAGGTGCAGCCCGAAAATTGTTTACCTACGGTACTGGTGGTGGACACTCCCTTCCAATGGGTGTTGCTGTTCTGCTTTCTTACCAATAGAGGGCAGTACCAGCAAGTGGACTAATCACAATCTGTTTCCATCTGTATGCGGAAAGAGTGTTGCCTCCTAGCGCGCAAATGTTTTCTCGAGATGCTTTGGTTTCCTCCCACTTGTATGAACACTCATTAATTTGCTGAAAACATCTCAATTAAAAAAACAACTGTAGGACACTTAAAAAAAAGAGTACGTCGCAGTGGCTTTCCTGGATAAGTAAAACAAGTAAATTATCTGCCGTGCCGGGAGATTGAACCGGTGACATCTGGTTTGCAAGTCCAGTATGCAAGCCACTACACCACGACAGCATAGGTCACATTATACTTGTCATGTATTCACTTATAGCACTATATAAAATAGATGAGAGTATTTTTACATTTGAATATTTTATTTTAGCTTTAATTAAATGGTCATATTACTCAGCAAATATTGTTTAAATTTGGACTAATATCCAATAGTAAGCAATGAAAATTAATTTTGAGGGAAGTTCTCATTTTAGGACACGTCTCCACAACAGCATGCATTAATGTACAGCTTTGGCTTGTGCCATTTCAGATATATACGGCAAACCTATTTCTACCCAAAATTTCCAAAATGCGCTTTGATTTTATTCATATGCGGCTAGGCAACATTGTATGTGTACTGTATGCACTACTCGGCCGGCAGCTGCCTCGTGATGTTTCGCTTTGTTTGCCCTTTTTCACGCATAAAGTGACAAAAACATCTAGCTAGTCTGTTGGCAGACCACAACCGTCTCACTGCACACACACCTGTGTACTTTGATCTCACATGGCAAATACAGTATTTGTTTATTTAACTTTTCATGCTGATGGTCACCTTATATTTGCTCATGCGTAAGTGTTTAGTGTATTTACTCCTAAGAGCACAACTGTTCCATTGAATTAGTGATGGCAAAAACTATCTATTCAAAATTAAATATCTTACATTTTGTGACATGGATGTCGTACCATTTTGGTCACATGCTGATCACAGCTAAATTGTAAGAATGTATAATTTACAATTCATTAAATGAATGCAAATGTAATATTTTGCCTAAGGGAAATAAGATTTCGATTTAAAGCTTTCGTGACTGCAGGGATTCATCTTCTTGGTTCTTTCGGTAAAGTCACGTAAAATGGAAATAATAAAATAATAAAAATAAAACATAATAAAATAATTCTCACGTAATATTTTGCCTAAGGGAAATAATTATTTTATTATGTTTTATATGTATTATTTTATTATTTCCATTCTACGTGACTTTACCGAAATAACCAAGACGAGGAAATAAGATTGTTTATGCGATTGAGACCAAAAATAATCAAATCTTGAATTGGACTGCGACCCTCAATCGTAACAACTCATGGAATCATCGAATGCAAATTAAATACACGTGTATTATGTTTGAATGTGAGAGGTGTTACTTTCAGTGAAAAACAGATTAGTTGATTTACAGACTGCATATCAGGTGTTGGCCATAAAGTTAATAGAATGTTTCTAAAGTTTCCGAAGAGACAATACACCAGTTCCAACATGATTTCAAAAGTGACACTCACACCGATGCCTTATTTTCACAATAAAAAATATTACTTACACTTAACCCATTATTATAGCGGTACATAACACATAAGGAGTTTCTCACTGTCAGCAGCTGGTTTCGTGGAACGGCAGAGGGGGGAGATGGGTGTGGTCTGGTTCAGGTGTCGGAGCGAGGCGTTGGGCATCCACACATTCTTGAGATGTGTGTGAGACTCTTTAGCCTGTGGCAATAATCAAATAGCACATTAGTGACTGCAGACATTGCATCACATGGATCTAGCCACAACTGAGAAATAACTCTAAATCAACTTCATGGGTCTGAATTCATGTGCACTCATGAAAAAATTGACATTATGAAGAAACTATATCCTGAATCAAAGCAACCTGACTATGATCAGAGGAGCGCTAAAGCTGAAACATAGCACAAATACATTCAAGTTCAGGATAAGTAGAACGATCTGAAAACCCAAATATTTGAATATTATGCTCATACGCATGTATTAATTTGCTTTAGTATATGTATATGCACCCCGTATGGCTTGTATAACTTCATTCCATCAGACCACAAACTGTTTGGGCACAATTTTAAACATATCTCCTCCAGCCAGAAAACTACCTTGAGATTAAAACTTATTTCCTTTAGATTATAAACTAATTTCCTTAATCGAGCAGAAGAGAGGTTTTCAATCTTTCATTATTCTTTTACAATAGATTACCTAGACATGGACATCTAAACTCTACAACAGCACCTAAAGACAACGCATGACCATTTGTTAAAATAAAGTCTCATCCATTTAGTATCTAAATAAATGTGAAGTCAAAAGTTAATGACATTTGTACTGATGAAAATATGACCTAACTCAGATATAATCCCCATAAACTAAAAACAATTTATGAATGCCAAAACAAAAAAATCAAGTCACGGACAAAGCAGGAAATGTATGACATTCCTGTAAAAAAATAAAGTGATTTTTGTTGTTGTACCAGTCCTGAAAAGATTAGAAGTGGTAGAACACTCATCCTCAGACAAATACCTTATAACTAAACTGTTACTCGTAAACCAGCCCAGTAGTTGAGACATATGAAAATAAAAAATAAGGTAACCTATGTGTTTGAAGAGTATCTCCGCAATTTATATGTTTAAGTTTTACTCCTTTGACATGCATCAGATATAAGTGTGTGCTTGAGTAATTACCTCTGCAATACAGCTCATGCTGTGCCTGAAGTTCTCCATCTGTCGAGTCTGCATATCTCGCTGGAGTAAACAGTGGTGGGGTCCCTTGCCACGAGTTCCTCCCATCAGGGTCCTCCGTAAGTCGAGAAGAGTTGGGGTGGACCCGTCTGGGACGCACTGTCCTGCCTCCCCTTTGGCCTGGCTCATTGCATCTAGCTGGTCAAGGCTCATACTGATCATTCGGAAGAAAGGAGATTACATTCGATCTGCAGGAACGCAAACACATTGACATCCTACGATGTTGTTCGTGTGTACTACTGCACCTGCTGCAGATAAGGCATATTGTGTTCAAGTAATGTTAATTAAATATCAACGTAAATATAGGCATGTAAAGATAATATCTGAACTCAAACATCATCTCAGACACTATGCAATTCAGATATTATATATCTCTGTGCCTGTAACAATCCATTAATGTAACAATTCTTAAATTCTCGATAGATGACTGTGTGCGTAAGAGCCAAATGTTTGCAATTAATTGTATTTGTTAATGTTTATATGACCCTGTAACCAATAGAGCTGTGAGACAATATTTTTAAATATTTTTATTTAAACAAAGTATAACTGTGAATCGTAATTCATCATATAACTAGGATGGTACATTGTTACATGCCTATATGTTTCCAATTGCACGGTTTGTTTAAACATAGGTAAATATATAATTTTAACTTTAGTATTCATGAGTGTGACTTTGAGAAAAGTACCTTGCTTGAGGTAACTCAATGCACTTAGAATTATACTGAAAGTAATGCAATATGCTGCTACTTAACTGATGTACGAAACAGAGATTAATAATGTATTCTGCTTCTGAGACAGATTAAATATTTGTGCTTAGAAGATATGATACTACTTTTTACCAAAATAAACCTGCTTTATTTTTCAACACAACTATTATATTTCTCTCAGAGCGATTTTGGTTGGAGTCGTAAAGCCACCCCGTCCGGACTATCCCCACCCATCATTACCGACTATCCCTCGTCAAACCTACCTACAGACTCCACAAACCACTACCTACAGACCCCACAAACCACTACCTACAGACCCCACAAACCACTACCAACGACTGCTTCTCACGTTCACTCCCCTAACCACTTTCCCATCCACAACCAACCCCCACCCTTAACCCAAACAAGCCCAACCCTAACTCTTTGGTTCTTTCGGTAAAGTCACGTAGGTATCAAATAAAATAAATCACGACGTTTCGGGCGCAACACAAGTGTCCATCATCAGGTGGGAAAGCATGGTCCTGCTGCTGAGGCAGACTGTTTTCAAAGGTTTGAAATGGGTGTAGCTCAAGGGTTATAAAGAAGTGGCCGGGACTAGTGATGTTAATGTGAGAAATTAGCATGTAACTGTAAGATAGGTGAGCGGCCTCCTCGACAAGGGCACGGAAGTGGCTATGTTAATGTGAGGGATTAGCATGTAACTGTAGAAAAGAAGAAGAGTGGCCTCCTCGACGAGGGAGTGCAACCCAACGGGTGTAATCCAAAGAAGCTGTGAGTATGAGAGTGCAATCCAAAAGACATGTGAGCATGAGAGTGCCCAACTCTATGTCTGAAGGGATGGGACCTAAACAGAAAGAGGCGCGGCGTAAAGAAGAAAGGGAAAGCCCTTAAAGGGAATGGTACCTCAGTGACAGGGCGAATCAGAAAGGGGTGAGGCCTAAGCCATAATAGGGTGGGGCATAAAGGGAAAGGAGGTGGGGCCTAAAGAGGAAGGGCCAGGGCCTAAATAGAAATGGCCAGAGCCTAGAGAGGTTAAATTTGCCTTTTGATTTAAGGTAATAAAAGCATAGACCTAAAATATGTACAGTGAGCAGCAAAGCTTTAGTGCTACATTCCAGTTAGTAGCATTCGATTGGGCCAAATTACTTCATTGGGAAGCAATAATTATCACCCATGACTGCAAAAACTTAGCAGGATCCTCCTGTAACCAAGTATTGAGACTCAGTGAGTCTTTGCTGGATAAATTGGGATTTCATAAATATGATAATTACAAGAAAGTCAGTATTAAAATATGTTTACCCAACAGTTCAGCTGGAGTATACCACGAACCAAATATTTTGAAACATAATTTAAAATGCAGCGCTAATTATGAGAAAGATAAAAACATGTTTAAACTGTGTTAAAGACTGTAATATTCCATCCATTTTAAGTGTTGTGTCTTTATGTAGAAATGCCCTTCTCTAATTGTTAGTTTATAACAATGGAAGGTGCTCATAGCCTTGAGATTGATATGATTCATGTGATATTTTCAAACGCTCCCTATCATCAATGAACAGTTTATCAAGAGTTTCTCAATGTTATTGTCCTTTTAAGTGTCAAAGGACAATGACTGTGAGACATGGGGCATATCAAATGACCTACACAATGGTGTGATCTAAATATGTACTTGAATTGTTATGCACAACTGTAGATTGGTAACCAAATCCTTAAAACATTTTTTTAAAAATCCTACATTGTGTTACAAAAATGTAACACAATGTAGGCACATGTATGGAGTCACAAGAGTCACAGGGATTAAGTAAACTTTAGAGTTCCATTAAAGCCTTAATTCTAGCAAAGGCTTATCGTTAATAATATCCTATATAAAGCATTAATAACATTGCAAGAATCGGTACAGTGTACTCTATATATGTTAAACTTCTTCACACCTTACAAAGCTAACAATGCTAATCGAACAAACTAAACACAATAATCAGTGCAGAACACACTTCGTACTGATAGTTGTAAAACTTCAAAAACACCAAGTTACATCAAATTAAATTTGTGGTTAGTCCCCAAATTTACCAGCCAAAGAAGGTTTATATTTTTGTTTATCCCACACCAACAAACGTTTTTAAACATCAGTGTTTTCTTCTCAGAAAATGTATCCATGTGATGGAAAAACTATTTTTTACACATGACGCAATACAAATGCCTCTTAGTCATGTGTCACTGCTAGACAATAAAATCCTCAAATAAAACACTCCATCGATACGCAACTATAAAAAGTCCTTGTGAAACTATTCAGGCATTGTGGAGTGTTCTAAGATTATCAAGATTAACATAAATAAATTACCATTCGCTATACAGTATATCTGCTGTGATTTATGTCAATGAATATTGTTTATAAAATCACAACTCGTCCAACACCTTTTTGCTGGCTTTGAAATTGCCACCGTCAGAAATCTGATAGCAGCATTTTGCATAAATTAGAATAATAATAAGGGATATTAGGCTGTAATTAAAGTAGTTGAGTTGGGATATGCTGAAGGCATGGAAGAGGGTCACAAGTGGCAGCTGTGATAAGGAAATGGTGGCTGTGGGAGAAGCTGCACAGATGGAGCAATGAGGTCCTGCAAAGTTGAGATATGTGGTTTGAGAATGACAGCCTGAAATCAATTACAAGTTTAGGAGGTACATGCTCAAACTGGAGCCTCTACTGGGTGTGAAATCTGCCAATGAGTTTTGGCAACATTTAGGTGGTGAAAGTTAGAACCAATCCAAGATGACAGTGCGTCAAGGCAGGATGCGAGAGAGTACATTAAGTTTGAGTTCATTGAGGTAACGGATTAGAATACTACTGAGGATCAACATTAAAACTGGAGATCATTTTGTCAAGCAGGAAGAAATTTACTGGAAAGAGTAACAAGGCAAGGATGGAATATTGGGGCATACAATAGCCAGTCCTTATATAGAAACATATGGAGCAGTTTGTGAGGTAACAGCATTAATCAACGTAATCATACCTAAGGGCCCACACATAAAAAGTCGTTCTTATGCTAATGATTATTGCTTACTCTATAACAGTGCTCCACAACTGGCATGCTGTGGCACACCAGCGTGCCTCAGCAAAGTCCCAAATGTATAGCCTACTTTTCAAAATTTTAGGAAAGGAAAAAACCTAAAGCTACCAATCCCCACCGCCTGCCCTCCCGTCTCCGTTGGTCGTGGCACAGTATGACAGACAGCCGTCAGCCCCCACCCCCAGCCCTCTAAACCCACTCGCTTTGCACATGCACAGTTGGGCTTCCATGGAGAGACACACACACATAGACAAACACAGGGAAAGAAACACACACGAAGACATGAATACAAACACATACATGGAGACCCGCACAGATATTGAGACACAGATATAGAGACACACACTGATACTGAGACATTCTCAGAGACACAGAGACACAAATACACTCACAGAGACAGAGTAACAGACACGGAGACACACGCAGACACACAAACACGCGATTGATGTACTGTAGATTGTAATGTTACTAATTTTCACTAATATAAAGTATAATATTTAATTTAAAATCATAAAGTCACATTGTATAATTCATATCAAGCGAATTAGTAATGCAATAATTATACGTTTATTTTTGTACAAAATTCCTCTTTTAATACATGGCTTTCTTAAAATGCAATTCAAAGCAAATGCCCCACAAAAATGGCTCAAATTAATCTGCCGAAACCTGAAAAAGGTGGAATTAAAAACATTGGATTCACTTCAAGAAGCATGCAATTGAAATACAACCAGACATAAATACAGAATGGCCAGTGGACAGTGTTGCTAGCAATGCTGGTACCTGTGTAAATGGTGAGTGTTCTCCTGTGGTTCCAAGATAACAGGACACCAACTGAAGCTTAGAAGACACCACCAGGAGGACAAAGATAAAGCACCAAGAAACACCCAGTCAAAGCGAGGCCGTGATTTTCAACAAGCACAGAATAGTAACACCAGTGACCCAGTCCTGATAAGGCACTTCTCTTGATGATTTTTCAAGGAAGCTCTATTAAAGTTGGAAAATGTCCCTTCAGGAACACAAAACCAAATACTGGTTTGTCAGGAGACAATGGTGACAAGAACAAGCATAGTCATAGAGGTATTGTTTGCGATTTCAGAACATGTGGAATTTTTGAGTTTTTGTTTACCTTGTTTATGTTTGTAACAGTCTATCAACATGTGCATTTAATTGAAACTAGCATGGGCATTGAATGCATTTTCATCGGCGATTACATTTGGTGCATATGCATTTCATAGGTGCCAAGTGTTGCGTGAACAGCAATTACTTTATTACAAGTTCATGATCATTGCCGAAGACTCTCTGCCGTGATGCTACCCGACTAACCGACATCTATGCTCCATCTGCTAGCTCCTGCAAACTTTCGCACAGTCAAAAGCTGGCCTCAAAGGTCCCTTCTTACAGTGTCTACCATGTGGCTGTACGTCTTCCCCTTGGTCTATGGCCTTTGGGTTCAACTGCAATGCCGTCTCGGTGACGTGCCTTCCTCCATGCAGAAAACATGGCCAACCCATCACAATTTTCACGTCGTGATCTATTATAAACGTCCAAGTCGATTGTCTTATCCTGCATACAATTCTTAACATTCTTCAATACAGTGTATTCTGAGTGCCAAAAACTATTTTCTAGTTTGTTCTATTGAGACAAACATTACTTCTCCCTAACACATATGTTGACTTTACTACTATTTCAATGAAGTTTATTTAAACATTTGTGCTGCTTACATTGTTCACATAATTTAAACGGTCTTTAACTACCTCCCCATTCTCACATCCCTATTTCTTCCTGTAATAAAGGTGTAAAACCTGTTCAAAGTAGGAAACTTTTGAAGTAAAGATTTGTACAGCATTACAAGTATGCAAAGATGGATTCTCTCACACTGGATTTCAATGAATGTGCGGAAATGTGGATAGGAATCATTTGCATTGACGACATTATTAGACACTATTTTTACAAGCCACGTCACATGACAGGCACCAGAATTAGTTGTCAGAAGGAAAATTAATCAGAGGCATGCAGCGATAGGAATAGATCTTGGAGCTCCAGCCAACACCAAGCAATGCGTTTATCAAGAGCCACCAGATGATATTTCAAAGGCTTACTAACAAGAAGTGATTACATTGAAAATCCTTGAGGCAATGTGGAGGTTTGAAATTTCATAATTTGTAATATCAAGTATAAAAATGTGAATGTATCTCTTGGTGCTTTGGAACGCAACAGCATTGATGCTAATAAGTAGTTTTTACTCCCTTAAAAGGCAGTATGATCATTGCATCTTAAACAATATATACATGTATTTTTCAAGGTGCTAATTGGAAAAACTTAAGGCTCAGGTAAAAAGGCCACACTTTTATACCTCCGCTTGTGAGACAGTGGTCTTCTTAAAAAGCCTCTGAGATGGGAGAAACAGAAAGGACAAATACTCAGAAGAATGGATTAACCAAAAAGATCATGGACTGTAAGCAGAATGGCATAACATTATTCATTTAGGGATAACGTCAAGCAATGGAGCATGCAGAGCTGTTAAACAAAGTTACAAATATGAAGGGTTATACAAATGAAATGTCACTGAATGTTTTTCTCAGACAATACCAGACCTAGACACATGCAAATGACACCAGTTTTGGAGTACAGTACGCACTAACATTTGCTAGTCACAAGCAAAATGGCTCAAAAGTGAGGTGAAGCTAAAACACGGTGTAGTAATCCAATTTCTGCTCAAGGAGGATGAATCGTGCAAGAAATCCATGAACACCAGGTCAACATGTACGATAGTGGCATTGTAATCGAGCGATATCCGTTGGCAAGTGAATCATTTTTGATCTCAGTTCCCCACAAGCATTCATGATAGGCCACGGGATTTTCACTGTGTCGGGATTGCTGCTGCCCCTCCCCTTCACAGCTGGTGAGAGTGCATTGGTCATATGCGTGGGTCAACGTACGGGCTTCCTTTGATGTCATCATTACGGTACCTCTCAGGTTACTGTATAAGTATATAAGTCTTGAAAAGCTGGATGAATATTTCAATTGGGGAAATTATCTTTAAATCCATAAATTAGTATTGGCTCGAACGTCTGCATGCATTTTTTAAATAAAAAAATAATGTAACACCCACAAAACAAAAGTAGATCTATCATTGTAAAAATAATTAGAATTCAATAGTTGTTTGCATCATTAGTTTATAAATTAAACATGTACATTTGTCCTCAGAATTTAGCGATGAAATCTAAGTTAAAATTCATGGAGATGGTGGATGCTAAATGGAGTGGAGATGAAACCTAATTTCTTATAAATTAAACACCTTTACAGTGCTAAGTATATGTTACTATATTTAACATGAAGTTAAATCTCTTGAAGTCAAATGAATTGCAAGCAAGAGCCTTTTCTGTTGAACAATGTCTGGCATTAAGCAAATAATTAAAGATAAAACAAATTTAATTTCATTGTAATTATCCACCAATAGATTTTATTCAAACATAATAACAATTTATTAACTTTTAGAATTTAATATTTTTTATTTATTAATCCAAGCCACTCAGCATCACGATGACGTGGAGGTGCAAGATTGAGGTTCACTGGATATGGAATGATGAAGAGATTTTCTGATAGGTTGGAAAGTTTTATTTGTCATAAAAAACTAAAAATAAAATGTAACAACTTCTTAGTTCTTTCGGTAAAGTCACGTAGAAGGGAAGTAATAAAATAATAAAAATAAAACATAATTATATTATATTATTTTATTTTATTATATTATATTATTATTATATTATATTATTATATTATTATATTATTATTATTATTATATTATTTTATTTTATTATGTTTTATTTTTATTATTTTATTACTTCTCTTCTACGTGACTTTACCGAAAGAACTAAGAAGATGAATCCCTGCAGTCACGAAAGCTTTAAATCGAAAAATGTAACAAATGACAGAGAGAGAGCACTAACATAACATGGAGCCCAAGGTTATGGGTTATCTAAATTCTAATTCTATATTTGAAGTTTTCGTGACTGCAAGGATTCATACTATTAGTTTTTTTCGGTAAAGTCACGTAGGTTAATTTTTTTTATAATTTTAAAAATGTTTTTTTCGGTAAAGTCACGTAGGTAAAAGTCACGTAGGTAAAAAAAAAATTCATTTTAAAAATTTTACCTATGTGCCTTTACCGAAAAAACCAAAGAGTATATCTAAATTCTACACAACTGATAAGTATACAACTCTATAATTGCAAGTGCACACTATTTAAACTTGGTTTTGACAAGCGCATCTTCACGTAATTAGTTTTGCCTTTAGAAAAGTGGGCTTAGTGAGGACACATCACTAGGAGGGAACGCGCCCGAGATCACGCATATGGGACGATGAAGCCACAAGCCAAAGCAATGATGAGACTGATGCGTGCGGATTGACTGCATGATGTCGCATCCTACTGTGCACAAATTAACTTGCACCCAAACAGTCCGATTTGTGGATTTATTTTTAATGTTTGATTAATGAAATTTACGGTATGCTTTCTGGATAATCCTAATTCAAGCTTCCTCTAGTCCAGCTTCAAAACGTTTTATGGCCGAAGATGATGAAACTTAAACACACTTAATGAAATCATTGTATATACATTTGAATAAGTTACACAAGTATCTAATATATTAAGACAAATATGACGCATTCGCACATAATGACAAACAAAAAATGCATAATGAAATTGCAGGTGTGGTGACTCACCTTTGGTGGCCAACTGTGTCTTCCCAAGACACTCGCTTTCCCGGTTCCCAGGTATGCCGACGTGTGGGCGAGTGTGAGCGCAAGGCTGTGCGGAATCTTGGATCGCGAAGAAGAACCTCCCCAACTCGGTCCTCGCCCTCACCCTCACTTTCCACCGTCTCTGCTGCCTCTTCAGTCACCACTTGATTGCTGGGTAGACGGCCACCTTGAGCAGAGTCTTCGCATGACGATAGGCAGCTGCCCCTCAAGTCTCCTTTGGCAGCCGCCCCATGCACTTCACATCCCGGACTGCCACTCCGGGACACCATGCTCATACCAAGGGCGTCGTCAGTCGTAGAATGGGAGGTGGTGACGCCGTCCACTATCTGCCAAATAAAAAAGAAAATTCCAAGTGGTTTCATTCTCAGCTGAGCGTGGGTTGGTGCTCATGACAAAATGACTTGACGGAGTTGAGTCTTTCCATATCCTCACTGTTGGCTTCCCTACAAAGCGATAATCATTGACCAGAGGGATGAACGGCCAAATCGAGTCCCGATTACCTAAATTGGCTTACAATGAAAAGGTTACGAGTTCATATTTTCAGATGGGGCTCAACTCAAGTCTGCCAAGTAGTCCAATTGTGCATCAGTAGAGTAATGCAGTCATATTAAAGTTCATCAAATGTAAAATGGCCATTCATGGCAAATTATGCTTCCATTCAAATAATTAAAACATAAAAATGCAGCTATACAAAGCAAGTAATAGAAATAAATTCCAGCACTCACAAAATCTCTTCGCAAGGGTAAATAATCATCAAGTTCATGAGGTACAACTGTTTGCATATTCCATCCTGTGATAGGGTGTTCATTTCGGGTTGACGTAGAAATTCATCTACGGTCCATTTATCACACACTGATAATTCATATCACGTGAAAATTTTAAATATTGAATTTTAAGTACCAAAAATGTCATTAAATAGTTACGTTCACTTGAGAATGTAGAATTGAAGTCGTGTATTCAACAGAATATGATTTAGTCTTTTTAACGGTACATATTTTGGCAGCATATATATGCCAGGTAGAATATAGACTAACCTACAGAGAAATCAAAAACATGGAGACACAGGAAGCTTGCTGGATTGCTGAAAAGTCTCATAATGGCTAGGTCAAGCACTGAGACAGCACCACTGTGAAGCTGAGTGTGAATCAGGATTTCAGCCACCATTGAACCAGTTTATCACGTGCAGTGATTCGATGATTTTGACTCGAATATCGATGATTGTGCAATAAACAATTAATATATTGTGTTTTACTTAATTATTCCTGGTTCAGATACGAGGGCTGAAATACGTAAATATAATGGAAAACTCAAATATGATGAACACCTTTTTATAAAGCATGACACAAAAGTGTATAGTATTACATGAGAGATACCTATTCAAAGATAAACACTAATTGACTTTGGTGGTGTAATTTCCCGGGGCCATTCTCACCACCTACTCGCTGCAATTGTAATTAACATGTGTAATAAGAATGCATGTGTTACACATGTGTACATGTAATATTTACATTCATTAGTGTGTAGTGTAGTGTATGCCTTTGTGTATAGACCAAAAAGTACAGTACTTACAACATATGCGTGCTGAACAAAATGTCTAGTATGGAAATTATTATTCTATTTTTACACTTCTTTGAATATAATTTACATTTTAAAGTATTTTTTTAGGAGCTGACCTGGTCCAGGTAAATGCTAAATCCACCTAGCCAGTGTTTTACTGTATAATATATTCGAAGATGAGACTAATCATGTATCAAGAAAAGCCTCATTTAGTTTACTCTTTGGCTGCTGCTATACAAGTATTTTGCTTGCGGGCGGAATCCAAGTAGCAAGAAAAAACCCACATATACATGACAATGACATTCAAAAAATCTGCAAAACAGATATCAATAGATATCTTCCTTTAACTATTTACATTATTTGGGCTGCTCGTTGCCTTTTCTGATTTGGACGATCACATGTGAAACCTGACCAAGCCACAAAACCTGTTTCCAAAGTTCTGGATTACAGGTCTGAAAAAAATGGCCAAAGATGGGGAAAAAAAGAACAATTAAAACAAAAGAGAGAAGAAAAAAGGCAAGTTTAACAAGAGGCAGGGAGAGAAAGGAAAGACAAGGAGATGGCCATACCCGAGGTATCATGTGATGCGACTCCTCCACAGCTACATGAAGTAAACACAATCGCTTATTGAAGCATGTGTTGTTTTGTTTCACATAAAACTAGTGACCTATTGTGTAAGCCTCTTATTTATTATCCATCTTGAATTATTCTAGCCTCTGCTACCCAACCACAACTAGGTGCAAACTTGTATACAGTATTAAAAAAAAATAGCTGTGAATAAGTTAAAGTTAAAACTTTTCTTATCTGTGTTTCTCTCAATTGTTCCTTCTATTATCTGCAAATGCCAGATGTCATATCCTGTTTCCATGAGCCCTGGGGCATTACAGTGGAGCGTAAAGGAAAGACGAACAGGGCAATGGAGAACTCTGAAGGAGGCACAAGCAGACATGGAGATGCATGGCAAAATATGCAGGCAAATGTGGTGAAACACAGAAGACACAGGGTTCATGTGGGAGATGCAGGGAGACAGGAGCGTGCAAGAGATAAAAGAACAAAAAAAGACAAGCAGCACCACCAGGAACCACTAACCTGGAGTAAACATAGGATCAAACAGCGTGACAGACTTAGTGATCATATGATCTCTACACAGTGGCCCACGCTGCTCAACACAATATGATTATTTAAAAAACTTTATTTATTCAGCCTGACATCATAACCTGCTGGCCTATGCACATAGCCAAACAAAAAACAGGTAGCTATTATTCAAATGGAAACAAATAGGAATATTTGAAAATGTACATATTATAGATATACCGACTATATGCTTTAATAACATGTAAAAATCTGAATTTAAATAATTAGCATTGTTTTTACCTATACTCTTTAACCATAATGAAAATGGCGAATTAAGAAAAAGATTTAACTAAAAGGAAACCGAACTCATGACTGAAACTGTAATGAAGTCCTAACTATAACTATATTGTTTATATGCTTGACAGTAACATTGCTATTTTGTTAATGATTACTGTCTAACAAAAAGTGATGCAGTGAGAGTCAAGACTTATCAGGGGATTAACGATACAAAATTTTAGTTCAACTGAAACCAAGTTAACATGAGAGACAAACGGTCACTGGAGGAAATAAATATTTCAAGTATCGGCATGGGTAGGTGATGGAGGAAGTCTAAGTGATCCCATAATGGGCATTGGACATTCTAAATGTACAGTCCTTTAAAAACAAAGACACTCAAAAACAATGGCAACACTTTCCATTACGATTTCAAAATCAAAACCAGTCAATAACGGTGGTTCAGAACACTGTGTGCTGTGATCCCTGTCGGAGGGGACACGGAGCGAGAGGCACATGAAAGCTACATTTAAAGGGTGTCTCTTCTTAGGCCTTGATTATAATTAAATGACGAAATATGACTGCAGTTGCTTATGACATGCATGTCCATTGCACTCCCTCTGATTCGTCAAACCTCGACAATGGCTCAGTTCCACCCCTCTCACCCAATCAATGATATCGCATAGGACTGCCTATTCCATAGTTCCTTCCATCATAGTAAAACTGTTAATCTGCTTGGCACAACAATCTGACCTGTCACGGAATGGCTCTGTTACTAATCTGGCTAAGAAGGCATTAAAAAAAGCTTTGTTTTTTTCCCCTTTGCCAAATCCTTCTTTAACTCCTAACAATTATTACTACTACAATAGCACGATTCGGCCAAAGTTGGGATAGTGTTGTTGGACCTTGGGTGGAGCAGTTGCTACCTCACTGTACTTGATAGAATTCAGTGTCAAGCAGTCAGGCTGTTTGATGATTCAGCGCACAATAATTCATTCGTCACTCGCTCAAGGGCAGTCGGTTGCCTCCTCACCACACTTATATCACTCCGACCATGGTTACTCTTCCTGGGACTTTACGGATATGATTCCTCTAACCGAGTTGAGGATTCAGTCTACCAGACTGACTTTGTAGCATCCAAAATGCAGCATGTCAAAACATTTCTCGTGCTGCTTCTACTCTCGCGCTGCTGAACTCTGGAAGTCTCTCTCATCATATATTTTGCCAAGCTCTTATATCCTCGCTCAATTTAAGAAAACGTATTAACTCTCATCTAATACAATTGTGATGGTGATGTTTGTTGGTAGCCGCTTGGCATTTGGGCCTTTGGGGCTGTGCTTAGCAACAGTGTTCAAAAAAAAAGTTCTCGCCCTCATAAAACCGGTCAGGAAAATGTGGGAACTAAAACATAAACAACGGGGGCTTAGACACAGAGACACGTATAGACAATGAGATAGGCAGAGATAGAAACAGCACACATCGTAGATAGACCTGGTGGCAGCCATGGAGAAATGGGATAATAGGAGGCATACATAAAAAGAGATGTGGAGATAGAAGTGGCTACAGCCATAAGCCCAGAGGCAGACAGAAGAATGCAGATCAAAATTGTGCAACGAGCACAAACCATATATCGCATAAAGTGATCTGGCCTCGTGGCTCAGCAGTACAGCTCGAAAATTGGAAGGTTGCAGGTTCAAACCCAGATTGGGGGTTGACTGAAACAATCATGCCTCGAGGATTGATTACATGATTACAACTTTGTGGGTACTCTTATGGAGAGACTCACCCCCACCATGGGAATGTAAAATTTGCACCACTAGCTCAGGGCTGTAAACAGGAGATGAACACCACTTCAATGCTCATTTGAGCGTTAAATCACTTTGACTTGACTTTTTTACGGTGTGTCGTGATTTTACACAAATATAGAAGGCGGAAAAGAGATGCCTACAAAGATAGACTTGAAGAAATGGAGACAGAAACATTCACACACAAACACCAAACACAAGAGTTGAAGAAACTCAGACAGGCTGATGTGTCATCTTGAGAAGCACGCATATTTTGCCAACTCCACAGTCCTGTGCAATTAAACATGATTGTTTACCAAAGGGCAGCCCATCCTATGAGTGAGGCGATGTAAAAAATATAACTGAGACTGACCTTACTAGACACTAACCACCACGAGTCAGCATACACTCACCACTCAGCAGACACATACCAGACACTCACCCCTTACCACCCAAGCAGAGACTCAAGACATGTGCTTCAGGCGCTCACAAGAAACTACTCACCAATTACAAGCCACTAACCCACTCACCAACACCACTCAACGATACTCAATACTCACAATGCATTCACCATACATACACACACTCACGTGACACTCACCAACCAGAGACAAGACGACTCACAAGCATTTGCCACT